ACCGATTTACAAGGCCTATGACTACTCAGGCTGGTAAATTGTCACAAAAACTGCCTGTTTACAATAGTTTATAGCCGTCTGTTTCAGTGTTTACCCACAGAGACCCAAGACTTGGTGTTAGTATACATGTATGACAGGCCTATTGCTGATTTTAGGCTTATGACTGATTTTAGGCCTTCGGTGTATAAGCAGGGATGCCCCTGACATCTCCTCCCTTCTCTAAGTATAGACGGCTGTGGCAAATCTAATCTTGAGAGGGCGGGGATAGAGGCCTGACCTTCAGTAATTGATGGGGACTTGAGCTTTTTACAAGGAGATAAGTATGGATCAATTTGCATTCTTCTCCATGCTAACCTAAAATTGAACAAGCATCATTTGCTGTCTTTTTTCCACTGGATGGTTTTAGCTCCTTTGTCAAAGATCAAGTGACCATAGGTATGGGGGATCATTTCTGGATCTTCAATTTTTCTTCAACTTTTGTTTGGGTCTGGGAATCACAACACAAACCACTCAAACACTCATCTCAATCAGATAGGGAAAGTTTATTGAATGTCATACCCCAAGATTGATCAATCAGAACACAGATCAGTCTCAGGAGCTGACTGTGATCTAGAGTCTAGAGACTGTGGGGCTTTTGGGCCTGAAATCTATAAACATTTGGCCAGATTATTTGACCAATCACCAATAGAGGAGCTTCTTAGGAATGTGTCGTTATTGTACCCTACCAGGAGTCTTCTAGGAGAGGCTAAAAACTACCAGATGTTTCTTGTAAGATGGTTTCACAATGGACTGTCAACCACAATGGATGATTCCTTTTCAGGCAATATCAAAATGGAATACATCTTAGGAAAGAATCCTGCTCCTATATGCCTTCATTGTTATTATTAAATATGTACAACAATCACTAGGTATTACCCCACCTTTTTGGACAGATTTCAGCAAATCAGTGATGATGTACAGTCTTGTAGTGATGCTATATAGACAAATAATTGATTTCTTAATCCTTAATGATGATTCCATAAGAGTTCCTAGCTTATACAAGTAATTATCAAGCCCTATATAATAGGACTGCTATTAAAGCCCTTTATGATAGGAAAACACCTGGAATTTATTACATTCCACAAAACAAGAGTTTAACTGTGTCACCCAGGCTCTACTCAAACACATTATCTTCCTGCCTCTACCTGCCAAGAACTTGAACCACAGATTTGTGCTAACCACAAACCCACTTGTATTTTCCCATCTGTCATTGAACTTTGTTTAAATTTTCAAAAAGATTCTTGCATCTACAAATGTCTCAAGAAATTATTATATTGTATGCGGTTTCTACAGTTCAATTCTGAACATTTTCATTTGAAAGTTTGTCTGAAGATGATTTTGAAAATGTATGTCAATCCTACCTTTCACCTTCCCAGTGGAGGGAAATAGACTTAAGAAACATGACATCTACTTACTCTGCAGTCCCTACAGGGCCATATAGTTTTTAAGTCTTATGCAACACCCTCGGGCTTCAGATCTTTTTAATTCTATCTATTTACTGACTACCAAAAACCCTGATTCCTCAACTTAGGGTGATCTACACACAGACACACACTGGTTAATGTATATTATTCTCTCACACATTACACCTTGAACAGAGTTTCCCTTCTATTTTCTCCTACCCATCCTCCCCCCCATGACCCCTCTTTCTCAAGTCTACTATTCTTCCTCTTCTCTTCAAATACGTAGAGCTGTCCTCCTAAGGATATCAACTGCATCATATTAGATTTAAAATAAGCCTGGGTACAAACCCTCACATCAAGGCTGGGCATGACAACCCATTAAGAGGAAAAGGGTCTAAAGGATGGAATCAGAGAGCTCCCCACTCCCTCTGTTAGGAATTCCAAATAAACCCCAAGCTAACAACAATACCTTATATGCAGCGGACCTAGCTCCTCTTTGAAGCCCTATGACCTCAGGTTAGTTGATTCTGTGGGTCTTCCTGTATTGTCCTTGACCACTCTGACTCCCACAGTCCTTCATTCCACTTTTCTGCCGAATTCCTCCAATTGTTTCCTAATGTTTGGCTCTGAGTCTCTTCAACAGTTTCTATCAGTTGCTAGATGAAACCTCTTTGATGTCTTTTGGTATCATTTCATTAAATTTTTTCAGTGATGTTTGACCCTCTCCTGAGTCTCTGAACTGGCCAGCTTCTGGTTCCTTACCATTCAGGCAGTGTCATGCATGAGTTGCCTCTTGTGGAGTGGGCCTGGAGTTGGACCAGCTGCTGGTTGGCCACTCTCACAGATTCTGTGATAACACTACCCCAGTGCATCTTTCAAAGAAAAAGATGTAGTAAAAATTCTGTAACTAGGTTAATGTCTCATGCTCATACCTGCTATATGAGATGCTCATTTTGGGGTTCCATGTCCCCAAGTTGTAAAGAGACATCACTAGAATCACTTAGGTAGATTTCAAAAAGATTCCACTGACCTAGGTGTCTATATCACACACCTGCCCAATACCCAGTTGTTTCTCCAAGTACTCTCTTCTTCCCTTCTACCTTCTCCTTGATCCTTCCTGTTCCAATCCCATGAGCCTCCAATCTACACACAAAACTTATTCTACTTTGCCTTCTCAAGGGATTTTTTTATGTTTATTAGTGTTTGCCTACATCTATGTCTGTGTATGGATGTCAGATCCCACGTAGCTGTAGTTCTCACAGTCCTGAGCTGCTATATGGGTGCTGGGAACTGAACCCTGGTACTCTGAATGTCATCCAGTGCTTTTCCACATTGAGCCATCTATCCAGCCAGAACTATTTTTTAAATCATAAAAAGTATTTAGTTGTGGGCTTGCTTATATTTCAGAGCATTAGAGTACATTTCCATTTGGACAGGGAATTCAGCATTAAGCAAACAGGTACAGAACTATGTCAGTATTCAAGAATTTAGATCCACATGCACAGGCAGCAGGCAGAAATGAAGAAAGAATAACTCTGCTATGAGCTTTTGAGACTGCAAAGCCCACTACCATTGATATAACTCCTACAGTGAGAGCACACGACCTAAACTTTCCTAAGAAGTTCTACAACTGAATTAAAAGGAAGATATTCAAATGTAAGTTTATGTGAGCCATTTTCACTAATATCACCAGACTTTACTCCCTGCCAACATATGAGGCCATATGATAACATAAAATACATTCAGTAAAATTTAAAAAACCCTATGCTCTTCCAGAGTCTCAGTGCTATTTAGAAGTCCAAACTCTATTCTGAAATACAAATCATCTCTCAGCTGGATCATCCTGTAAAATAAAAAAAGGAAATTATGCACTTCTAACATACAATGGCATTGAATGTATATTACCATTAAAAAAAACAGGAATGAAAGAAACAGAGTAAGGAAATATTGTACCAAAGGAAGAACAAAATCCATCAGGCTAAAATCTAAATTCTCAATCTCAATGCACAATGTCACAAGCCTTCATAGATGGATTTTCATGTCTCCTACACCTTTCAGTTTTGCTGATGTCAGCACATTCATCTCTCTTGACTTTACACCTTGTTTGTAGCTTTTCTCAGCAGGTAACCATCTTTCGTCTCTAATATCTTGTCCAACACATTACAGACTTCAGCTTCATAGATTCAAGCCCTAGCTATCCAGGGCTCCATGTAGAGCTTCCCACACCACACATTTGGCCTTTCCCTAATCTCAGAGAAAAATTACACAACCCACTTACTCCTGTATCCTTCTTAACTCTAAAGTTAGAACTACATGATTAAAGCTGCCAAGAAATTGCACCTGCTGGGGCAGGAAACTGGCTGCTCTCTTGTCTTACATCTGGATATGCTTTATATTGCTGTTTAGAACAAGGAGATCCCTCAGCCTTTTCCTATCAGAGGTTCAAGGCTTATCTTGTTTGGGTCTCACCCAGAGAGGACCAATCCCTTTATTGCATTTAGCAAAAAGTCTTTCTCTGCGTTTTTCATTTCTTTGGAAACAGGACTTGACTCCAACATTACCTTCCTGTGCATCTCTATTTTTCTCCAAACTTCATTGTGTATCACCTTTTCTATCAAATGCTGTTTTTCAATAAAACTGGATGAAGATGATCACAAATAACCACTGTCTTGACATTTTTCTCTATCAACTACATTTATCCAACACTCATCAATTTGCCCTCTGGCTGGTTTTTAGAACAAGACCAAAGAGCAGCCACATTTTTGACAGAATATCATAATAATGATCTGTCCTATTATTTGCTCTGAAATTTCTTGAGCTGGGCTCCCATAGTCCTTAATACTCTCAGTATTTCTGTTGTCCAAGTTCCTATTATGATGATTTGGTAAGATATGCTTGGAGGGTTTAAATTCATTTAAGTGCATTCTGGTTCAAAAACCTAAATAATAGCATATTCAGGCCTGTCCAATCCTGATCATGTTGTACATTTTATCCTGGGGGGTAAAAAACTCAGCCCTCAGTAGCAACTTGGTTACACTTAATATTTTAGTAATAAAACACCTTCATCATGGAAATTTATAAATGAATGCATTTAAGTGTTGACTTACTTAAAATCTCAGAGAATTAGTACAATTCCATCTTAGCAAGGACTGTAAGTTCAAGCAAGCAGACATGGGATTGAAGTGGTAGCTGAGAGCAAACATCTTGATAAACAAGGAGGAGGCAAAGAAATACCTGATTAATGTTTGGACTGTAGCAGAGAATGTTAATTAAAATTCCCATCCTCATAGAAGATCATTTTAAACTATAATCAATATAGACCCATGGAGTCAACATCTCTGCTATTGTGATATTGACCATGGAAACAAAGGGCAACGAACTTTTTAGCATTGATATCATACAGCATGAATTGTACTTCAGCCAGGCTAAATTACAAACTGTATTGGAAGGAAACAGTGTACATATTCAGTGCCTACTTTGAAGCTTCATATTGACAATGTGTTCACAGAAAGCATCACAGTACAAGAAAGGGAAAGAGGGATGTAGACATTATGGCTCTTAGAGTTCTCTGACTACACAAGCACAGTGTGTTGTCTGGTAAGAACAGACACAGCAGAGCCTGAAAACAGAGATGTAGTGTCTGAGGAGTACAAAGGGAGAGAATGCTGGAAAGCATGCACTCATGGCTAAATTTGCATTTGACAGCCACCTAAATGTTACATCTATCACAGACAGATAAAATGTCAGGACAACAGAGGTTACATAGAAGACCACAAAGGTACTCACTAGGGTGAGGATGCTTTGGGTGGCTCTGGTCTCAAGGGATGACCTAGGTGACAGGGACCTGTGGATATGATTGACCCTCTGCTTGTGTTTGATCAGTATAAACACCATGGAGCCACTGGCCCACATCATCAGTCCCAAAAACATGACATCATTGAATGTCAATAACATTCCATTAAGAATGTTGATGACTCTCCCAGGATTAACAACAGCACAGTATTCAAATTCTTTTACACCAGTAACATTTCTTAAGCTCCTTATGTCATTTGTGTATATAGGAATGAAGGCATATACCAATAGTTGGAGGGACCAACACACGCCCAGGGAAGAACAAACAATCCTGGGAATTCTGACCTTGAGCTGTGCCCACTTGGAATTCCCAGGGCTGATGGTGATGAACTGAAAGACACTCAGCAGGGATGTGGAGCCAAGGGATACACCTCTGGCAACTCTATGAAAATAAAAAACAAGTTTACATGTAAAGTCATCTAGAAAATATGTCTGACCAAATGCACTCATTGTCTGAGGGATGCCTTTACAGAGAAGAACCATGATGCTGGAACAGGTCAAGTGTTTGACAATCAGATCTGTGGGCTTTGCCTTGATCCCAGTAAAGTCAGAAATAATGAAACAACAAAGCAAGGCTGAGTTCCCCAGAACTCCCAGTACAGTCTGGAACAGGAAGAAGATCCCCATGACCATGTCTCTGGAGGCCATTTGATAATGGTCCTAGGTCAGTGTACATCAGGTACATCAGATGCTTGTCAAACAAATTAGACTGTCTCCTTCAGAGCATGTGCATCACTGTGCTGCCTAGAAATCATCACCTTATGTTCATAAGTTTACATATTAACTTGTGTCTTCTAGTATGAAGTTTTCTACAGTTCATTGATTTCCTATTGATTTAATTACAGATAAACAACGTGGACATTGTAGTAAAAGTTGAACTTTATACTGTCATTCTTAAGAGTCTCAGTCAGGCTTTTTTCCTGCATAAAACATCATGGCCAAGAAGCTAGTTGGGAAGGAAAGGGTTTGTTCAGCTTACACTTCCAAATTTCTGTTCATCATCAAAGGAAGTCATCACTGGAACTCACACAGGGCAGAAACTTGGAGGCAAAAGCTGATACAGAGGCCATGAAGTGGTGTTTCTTGCTGAATTTCTTTTCCTGGCTTGCTCAGCTTGCTTTCTTATAGAGACCAGAACTACTAACCTGAAGATGGCACCACCCACAGTATACCTCCCTTCTTTGATCACTAATTGAGAAAATGTCCTACAGTGGTTCCTCATAGAGGCATGTCCTCAAGGAAGGCTTCTTTTTCTGTGATAACTACAGCTTATGTCAAGTTGACAACAAAATCAGCCTGTACAGTGTTTTCATTTTTCAAATGCAATAAAATTAATGCCTGGTTTAATATCCACAAGAGCACTGTTGAGAGGGTCGAATGATCAAACGACATTCAGACGATTGTTCTGCATGCGGACACTCTGCATATTATGAATATCTCAGCAACTGTGAAAAGTATACACTTACCAGAAAGGAGACTGTCTGTCTCCAGAGAAAATACTAAACACTAACTAAGATGCTTTTGACAGTTTACAGCTACTAGATAGTGGGAGTTAGCTTCATTTGAATATATGGGTCCTAGTAGGTTGGTTGACCATGCTCAGAGGATGTTCGCAAACCAAAAATCATATGGGCCATACAAATTGTGCTACATTACTTAAAATCTTGAAAAGATACAAAATTTATCAGGGAGACAAGGGTGATGAATCTCTAGGAATCAGAAAGGCATGGAAATAATGAATTACATTACACAAATTTCCCAAAGGGTAAACATGAGAATAAATAATAGAGAATAATAAAAACATAATAAAATTTGAGAACAAGAACAAATAGTATTTAGAATGAGGAAAGAACATAGATATAGAACATGAGATATCAAGGGACAAAACATTTTAATTCTCCTTTGTCCTCAGTAACATGTAATTGTAGTCACTTAAGTCTCTGTGTAAATAAATATTTTTATGTTTGCTTTTAAGAGTTTTCACAAATACTCTCTAATCTTTTCTTTGATGAGCAGTATTTAAAATATAACTCTATAATTGATAATCATGTCAAAAAAAATCAAAATAGGGAACTACTTGTAAATGTGTTTAAACTAGGATCTAATAAATGCACTTATTCCATAAAAGGATTGCTGCTGAAATACTTGTCATTTTTGATAATGAAATTAAAGCACATTAGACACTGAATGAATTAATTAACAAGAGTAGCATTCCTTCTACGCTGTGGTACATAAAGTTTAAGAAGTAGGTATTGAAGACATAGAAGAAGAATCAGTACATAACACATAGCACAAACGACATCAGTGCTTAACTGAAAGGCAATATCTGGGATGGGGATTTTGACACATACTTGTAATCCTAACACGTGGTAGGCAGAGGCCAGAGGAATCCTGTAATCTGAGGCTAACCTGGTCTACAAAACAAGATCCAGGACAGCCAAGACTACAAATAGAACACTTATATGTACAAAACAAAGAAAAACAAACAAAAACAAAAAACAAAAAGTAAGCTATAGGGCTCATAGGCCTATTTGTCTGGGGGAGTTGGAACAGCAGAGAGTGAGTTCTGATGTTTGGATAACATGAGGTTGGAGTTATTCAGTCAGTCAAATATCATTGGACTTCGAATTTCCATTTCAAGCATCAGGTTATTGTTTGATCAACATTTCATAGTTCCAATCATACAGGCCTCATAAAAGGATATTACTTTCTCAATGTACCATTCTAAACAGATATTTTCTGCAAACAGAAAGAAATAAACCACATCTACATGGGAAACTGTGCAAACCATAATTTGAATTGTAAAAACATAGAAGTCATCAAACACAACTCAAATAACTTTTGTGACTCACTAGATTCTAGAAGAGATTTTACCACCCATGTGAACAGAGTCTTAAATTCCCAAGGAAAAAATGAGTGCAAGTGAATTCTGAGAAAGTCACAAACTGTTTTAGTAAGGCTCCATAGTACTGAAAAGAAATACATAGTCACTGTCTTGAAAAGAGCAACAAAAATATAATAATAGAAATAATGATAATGCAGGATAGCATTTTTTCTGAAGCCTCTGTCAAATCATGTTGGATTCAAGTCTTGGGGTGAGCCTCCCCACTCTGAGCATTCAACCTGTGCAGGCTTTCCCTGAAATAGGAGAATCATTTCAGAGAGCTGTACTCATACATCTTCCAGATGACTGTCTGCCCTCTGGACACTGGTGACCTGAAGGAGAGCAACTCACCTGTACAGGTAGGATGCAGTTGAGATGCTGGCTACTAGATAGGACTCAGTGGCCAGTGGGACCTTTAACCCTCATACAGCTATTAAGTTAACAGCAATCCCCAAGATGAAGGCTGATGTTCTCAGAGCTCAGGCCCCAAGAGGATGACATGGTCATGTCACAGAAAGGAAAAATGACAATTTACCAAGGGAGTTGACATCTTCTCTAAAAAAAAAAAAACAAAAAAAAAAACACCTTCTTCCCACTAATAAGAAAGTAAAACTTTTAACTGACTAGTGAGCATCACAGAGGGACTCTTTTCTCCTGTGGTGTCAGAAGCTGAGAATCCAGTTAGGAGAACCAGATAAAGACTGCATTCTATGGAGCAGGGACTGAGGCCGGAGGATAGAGCTGCCAATCCACTTTCCTGGGGGCTGCATCACTAAGAAAATATCTCCTACATTCTAAGGGACTGGAATTGTTGATGAAACTTACAGCCATAATTAATGCATCCTGAAGGCATTTCAGATCCAAGACTGCTGTCCTACTGTGCACTCAGCCTGCTTGTTCATCTCACTTTCAAGCATACAGTGTAACAACCAAACATGCTTGATTTAGATGTCCGATGTCATCAGCTTTTATGGACGAACGTAAGCCATGGTTTCAACCTAAAATATGTAGTCTTCCATGCCCCTGATAAATGTGTAGTGCAGGTGTCTGTTAATTTTATGGTCATCAAATCTGAAACAGCAAGCATTTTAGTAGCCATCTTCATAAACAAATATTCACCATAAGTTTTGGAGGGGAAATTATAATGAGTTGATAAATCTGTGTGATGTTTGCAGCATGTTGCCTGGGTCATTTGGGGGGAAGTTGGTATCAGTGACTCAATCCCCACAGGGAGAGAGATGTGGCAAAATTCAAATCTGTACTTACTCTTGGTTAAATACGCAAGGAAAGTGATTCTTAATTTCTTTTCTTTAGTGTGACCCTGACACATTTTGGGTAATTTGGGGATATTATTAATTCATTCAATCCAATACACTGTGATTCTTTATTATCTGTCTTTGTCAAGTTTAACTGACACTTGTTCAATTTAAATCTTATACAAGTCACTTGTGGTAGCACAATCCTTGAATCTCAGCACTCAGGATGTAGATTGAAGTGGATGTCTGTGAGTTGGGGCTGAAATGAATCTTGGTATACATAGAAAATTACAGGGTAGCCGGGGCTACACAGTAAATTTACTTCATGGTTTAAAAATCCCTTTTACAAAGGGGATGGCTCTTTGTACTTAGTGTTGGCTATATAAGCATGAGATTATCAGTTGAAATCTTCAACACACACAATTTACACACAAGTCATGGAGGAAATGTGTACACATAACCCTATTTTGGGATGTCAGAGAAAATATATCGCAGAGGCTTACTGAATATGGAGTCTAGCCTAACTGGAATACTCCAAATTCAATAAAAATGCTGTATTTAAGTATATGGTATACATGGGACATGGATAGGGGATGTCACCAGCATGTAACATCATGACAATCCTACAACAGGAGACACTACAGTATTCAAATATGGTCAGATGAGAGAGAAAGAAAAGAGAAGCCTGAGAATTATGAAGAAACATGGAACTGAACACTGGAAGATGGAAAGGAGAAACATGTTGTGAGAGTCAAACCCTACCATCTGGGATCATGGTGAGTCCCAGTCTGAGATACCACTGAAAGCCATGACTGAAGTCAGGGCTACAAAGCACCAGGAGTCAGTGTCAATGTTCATGGCTCATATGACCACTAGAGAACATGGTGTTATAACTCTCTGATACCACAGGGATGTACAGGGACTGTGTATAACAGGCCCCACCCATCACTGGATATAATGCTCTGGAGAGTTGATCAAATCTCTCACCACCTGCAGCAATCTGGAGACCAGACATAGTACCTAGCCCAGGCTATACAGTAGAGCTGGTCCTGGTGGTAGGCATGTGTGTGAGACATCCCTAGAGATACGTGTAGAAGAGTAACCCCTGCCACTCAAATGTCATGTAATGGCATGAGTACATATGTAATGCTTGCTTCTGCTCATCTGCAGCAGTTGAGCAAGCTGCTCCCATGATTCTGAGATTAAGAGAGCAAGGCTTGCTCCTTAGCACCTACACACTCTGTAGATAGGGACCTGTGCCTCTCCTTGCCCCATTTCCCTTACCAACTGGCATCTTTGGCAGTCAGAAGAACTGGCCACAGCATCATGAAAACAGGTGAGCTGACTCTGTCCATCACAGGCTACAACACTCAGGAGAGTGGCCCCTACACTTGTTCTGGGCAGCACAGTAATGCTAGGCTTGGTCAAGGAGGAGCAGGTGAGCTGACCCTGAGAATAGAACAAGGGAGATGTCGCTCTGTCATTCATCTACTGTGAGGTATCATGGA